AATAACCGCACGCGGGTGCACCGCGTTGCGATCCGCGTGGGCGCGGATCGTAATCATCCAAATACCCTCGATATCCTATCGCGGATCTCTTTCTACACATAAATCATGGACCACGTGCGGCACGACTATGTCTATGAGACATAGTTGTATTGCATTTCACATATCGGTACCGATTGCTATTCATTTAGCCATCATTGAAATAGATACCATTTGTTTGCGTCACGAAAATTTAGATTCACATTTAGATTTGGAATAGAAAATATTAAAAGGAGGATCTATTACATAGTCGTAATTGATTCAAATATTTAGATATATTCAAAGAAAAGAAAACTCGAAAACTTGTATTTTAATTTCATTTCAGCAGAATCGTGCAAATGGAGATATCTCTAATATTAAAGCCCACAAAATTTCGATTAAACATCAATTTCGATTACATAATTATTTTCTTGAAAATGAAATAACTAAAAATTGTTTTCAATTGGAAAATTCGGGCACAAACAAATTTTTACTTTACTACAGAGAATGTTTTATTTATATTTTTAAATAAATATAGTATAGTAGTTATAAAGCATTTTTATATTTTAAGGATATTTTTCAATTATTTATTTCTATTTATTAGATAAGTATAATTTATAAATTCCAAAAATATTTTTATAATTTGATTACATTGTCCATTTCCATTTTCATAAATAGAAATTCTATTTTACAGATAATTTACTCATGAATAAGTGTTATAAAACAATTTTGATTATTTTTTTTTAACGGAAGCTTTTAAGCTTCTTGAATATAAAATCTTTTATATAGCCTTACAATCGAAAGCAAATCGTTTAGCCGTTCATTAGAATTGATAATTCGTTTGCCATGAAAATTTAAATTATTAAATGAAACGGAAAGATGATATAACTAGCTGAAATTAACTGAAAAGTTCAAAATAGAAATTTGAAAAAATTTAAAGAGGAAGAATTTCTAAAGTATTAAGTATCAAAAAATTTCAAAAGTTTAAAAAAATTAGAAAACTAAAACCTCGAAACTTTTAATATGTTTTCAATGCTCGAAATCACGTTATTCTAAAGAAAATGTTTAAAATTCAAAATCAGGAAAATACTCCACTCGTGCGCAAATTGTTTTACAATTCTAAGCTCGCCTGAGAGGATTGAGCGGGGATTTTATTTGCTTTACGAATTTGCGAGATTTCGCGGAAGACGGGAGTCGCGCAATTATTCCCCAGCCGGTCTTTTGACTAGTCGCAAGAATTGAAGAACCGCGCTACTCGGACACGTGGCGCCGGCCGACTTTCGGGTCCCATTAGCGTGATCGCGTCGCGTCGCGTCGCGTCGCGCCGCGTCGCGACGACGTGGCGCAGCGCGTGCACGCTGTCATCCGTGAAACGCGGGACCGCTGTTGAACCTCCTTGCGGTGAGTGGGCGAGGGTGAAGCCGAGTGCTCCGTAATGGATGACGGCAGCACGGAAGGGTGGATGAGCGATATATCGTCGGGCTTGTCATCGCGCGGCTCGTAAGCCGCCGCGCGAACAATTACGCGCGTGTCGGACTGCGAGCTGCATACGTTGCACTCGAAACATCGATGGCAAGAATGGCAAGAAAGTTAAATGGGGGTTAGAAGACTGCAGAAAATGTAGAAGCCTGTTGTAGAACCGTGAGAAGAGAAAATGGTAACGATAAAATTTTAGTAGAATAAGACAGAAATTAGAGAACAACAAATTTGTCTTACAATTAGTTTTTTTTTTTTTTTTTTTTTAATAAAATATCTTATTCTCTAATTTTGTATTAATATCGTATGTTTAATAAACATAAATGTGATGAGAGGTTTTGAAATACAAGAATGAAATGTAGACATTACTTGGTAAGGAAGGATCTTTGGTGCCTAATAATTACTTTTATCTCTAAATTTATATAAATTTAAGAATAATTGTTAATTGTACGTGACATTATTTTTAAGATGACTTGAAACAACACAGCGGCACAAAGACAAAACTTTCCCTTTATCCCTTTTACCTTTTTCCTTTAAACAAACTGATAATTAAATTAAAGATATTGATTAATTCTCTCCTCTATTTACTTATTTTTATCTATTATATCTAATTTTACGTATATTAAACTCACCCCTAATGTGTAGCGACTTGTGGGCACTACCGACTACTTTTACTGAGACATCAAAGAGACGTCAGACCCCGACCCGAAGGAGGGAACTGCAGTACAGAGAAAAGAGTAGCTCAAAAGCTTGTGGACTTCTTAAGCCAAAGAGCGCTTTAATTCGCGCGATAATAAATGTTTGCGTTTTGCATGTATCCAGAATGTGCCTGGATGCGTGGCATGTGGCAGGACCAGTATTTGTTCAGGCACGAATGGCAAATAGAACTGCGAGCCCGAGATGCGTATTGTCCCCCTCCTCTCCCCCTCCCCTCCCCTCCCCCCGTCACCCCCCTTCTCGGGTTTTGTCATACGTATACGCGTTGCATTGTACTCGATGCACTCATCCGACTCGCGCCAATGACGTAAGAATGTTTTCTACACGAGAAGGTCTAGCGATAGGGAGAGCGATTTCTCTTTTCCCACATGCATTTGAGATATGCGCTTTGAAAAGAGTCTAGAGATGTCGGAATGCAGATTTTTATGTGAAGGGAAGAAACGCGCGCGGGATGAGGAACGCATAGGAAACTACTCTATTATCCCGCGATAAACTTGACTTCTCTGAAAAGAAGTCTTATAGAAGTGGGAAATAAAGCAAACCACTCGATCTCAGCCTGATCGAAGAGAGGAGACGTCTAATCGTTGTCGGAAAAAACGAGGGATGCGAATTCCTTGAATTTCCGAATAAAACCGTAAAGGAGAAGAAGAGATACGAGAGAGAGAGAGAGA